TTTATTGTTTTATAGTTATAAGCTTTATAGAGGTAAATGACTTAAATGATTTTGTGTATTGTTTGTTGTTCGTCATGGTAGTTTAACCACGACATTTCTTGAATGTTTATTTATCATAGTTATTGATATGCTGGTTGCTGGCGCAAGTCATACGTCCTCGGTGTAGTAGTCCGGCCGGCTACGAGAGCAGGTACACTTAGGTAAGGCGCGTGCATGGGGCGTAGGTAAGAGGGCTAATATCAAGTACGTGGCCACATAGCTAGCTTACTACGTAGGGGCAGTAAGGGCCTACAGGTTGCGGATAACGACATTAACCACCCGCGTGGCAAAACTGTAGGCGAGCACAGGCGAGCGCTCCGTAAGTCCCCTGCACGCGCCGAGCGCGACTCTTTCCACCGCAAGTGAACCCCGGTGCTCAGATGGCATTGGCGGAGGGATTGACGCCCCCATATGCTTTCCACGCGCAGTAGGGGCACTAGAAGGCGAGGCAATGCGCAAGTTTGAACCAGAACCTCTGCGTCGCCCATAATTCGACCTTCTTGTAATGAGTTATTCAAAAATTGAATTGATGACATGATAGAAATTCGCTGACCTCGCTCAGCAGCTTCATGAAGGAATTTTACTCCGTCCTCAAGAATAACAGTGTTAAGTGGCGTTTCATGTAGCCCAAACCAATCCTTCGCTATTGTCACCATGAGTGGGTCCAACTCAATTGTTGTGAGGTTCACCTAATATATTAACGGCTTATGCATATTGTAAGTCAATGTGTTTGCTTAGTTTTAGAAGCGGAAGAGTCCAAGTAGAGGCCTGTGACTGGTTTTGTAAAAGTGGCAATCGGTGCACTCCAGCTAGATTCTTCAAGCGTTTCTTTTGAATATGTCGCGCTTTTGTTCGTTCAGCCAACGGTCGTGAGAGAGGGCGTAGAGTTAAGCCTAATATTGTGCGATCATGTCACCATTGTCGCAACCCACTAGTGCACTTGCCAGCACTTTTACAGCAAAAGTAGCACATCCTCTGCAGCTGGAGACCCACAAAGAGGGTTTCCTATCCCAGGTAATCCATCGATTACTCGTAATGATTGGCGCCTTTCGCTTGTATCCCTGCGCGCCCACTGGACCCGTGAATAGAGAAATAGACAAGACCTCGAGTTGGGCTAAAATTTTAATCTAAAGGGTATGACAAAGAAGTTGCGAACTGTTCAGCACGTTATGTAGTTGTCAGTAGCAGGTGTGGCATCCGACAGATGATGTCACGTCAAACAAGCGGCAGTGTGCCCATCCTTACAACCGACAGTGTGTCACAGTCAATCCTACGGCTGTCCGTATGGCGTACGGCGTAAATGTTACGCGTGCATAGTATATCGAATGGAGGGCAGACACATAGAGTTACAAATATCTATCACAGGCTCGTCTCAATTCTTCGCTAGTATTTTTCGAAAGGTGTCCGTGGTGGTGTGAGAAGCGAAAGAAGGAAAGGGTTCCTACAGGCGCTAGATAAGCCCTCACTTTCTACAGTTCATCTGCAGTGAGGTGTGAACACGAGGCGAAGAAATACTGGGAGCCCTGACGAGACCCGACGTGATGAAATGATCATAAACACAATTTCTTTGGGTGATCGCAGGTCCAATATTGAGGATATCGATAGGCTCGCTTAACCCTACGTATCGATTCACAGTACTCAATAACTACTCTCATTGAGAAATAAGTATGAAACACAGTGCAAACGCGTCAGAGAAATAAGTATGAAACNACGAACCCTTAGAGGATTTGACAGCACCGAAAAAGTTGCAACAGTTCCACCTCCTAAGCCGATCATCAGCACGTTTTGCCAATCCTGTGGATCAAACTGTAGTCCCTGCAACAAAACAGGGATACTTATAACAAAAAAAATACTCTGTAACCAGATATCAGCAAGATTTAGTTAGATTACCTCCATCACGAAACCCATTGCAATCATCAACTTTATATATACGAATTTAACCACTAATTTGTTAATGGACCACTGCCGTGTGTTGAAATTACTCCAAGTGAGTTCTGTAACAGACGGTAATGATTCGAAGAAAAATAAACACGAACCAAAAACATATAAAGTTAAGCAACCATAAAAATCAAAATGTTGCGTTCGAGCTAGTCTTCTCGTTGTGTATGATTAGGCGCGTCACGGGGGAGATGGAGGAGTGAGACGTATGCCGTCGCGCCAATTCCTTCTCCACCAGATGTCGAGGCTGGCAAGCGACCAAAAGTGGTGAAAACGGGCTGGCGCCGCGCTCAACCCAGCCAGCCTGATATGTCCCATCGCCCGCAGCAGACAACCAGACAACGCTGTACTTATTCATAGGAAACTTGGCGCATTTCAGAGACATTTACACTCATGAGCCCTCTAACAACTCTTGAAGGACTGGTCATGTGATCGACCCAGGTTTCAGTGGTACCGCTGTAGCGTCATTTGGGTCTTCGATTATGACCGTGTTTATGATTGCTCCTTTGTCAATTTTGATAGTTCGAGCTCACAATTTTTAATGAAAACATACTCTTTGGTGTTTCCAGTTCAACTGCGCTGATGGTGATGTTATCAAAATCTTTGTACTTCAGGAAGCGTCCCACAGTCAAACTGAAATGTTTCATAGGCTCGGACGTAATAGATAGTCACAATCCCTACTAACGATAATGAGCGGTATGAAGGGGCGTAGTTCGTGGCCAGAACAGTCTTTCTCACCAAGTGCAAGTGTCAAGGATGGCATTATTAGTGGAAAAAGGCCGTCTTGGCAGCGCTCCAGTCTATGCCCTATCATAAATTGTTGCCTAAAATTGTTTCCCTTGTTGTGAACTCAGATGGTACGAGTTATTCCGTTCTTTACTGAGTCGTTCCGGGAGGGCCCAAGCGAAACATGCCTTGCCTGTTCAGCGACCAGGTGCCCCTCCCTAGTAGACGTTTTTGCCCCACACTTTCACTTTTGTGATGAATACTGCCTCTAAGTGGGAGCAGAGTAGACGCATCGTGATGGTGAAGTGGTGGTGTAGGTATTACCCCCCACCTAAATGAGGGTCTCGGTACGGCCACACCCCAAAACCTACCTACAAATTCCCCCCATTTTCCATTTTCACACAAAAATTTTCGGGTGAGCGCGAGAGAGGAGGGGGGAGGGGGTATATAGTGCACATGAAACAGGAAAAATCACGCAAAAAGTCAACAACCGGAAAACCAACGCGACAAATTTCTCTCAAAGGCACATACGACCCCTCTCTCCCAACGACCAAATACGACCCCCTCCCCAGAGAAAAAGTACGACCCCTATGTGTTTCATTACACCAGTGCTGTACCCTGAGTGGGAGACAGCTTTGCTTTTGCAAATACTCAAAAGTTTAGATATGAGATGTGATGCTTATCAGGAGGGACTAATGGACCCTCGGAAGCCTTTCTCTCTATCAACTTAGCGCGTTAATCTTTGTGACAAATCTTACAATAGCGAAGCACAAGTTTGAGTCCTCGCAATACGTTTTCATTAATCGCCGTTTCTTAGAAAAAAAACGGTGAATGAATTCCGTTACGCCTGCATAATAAACATTTGCTCACCTTTTTAAGTATGAAATTTATAATCTCCTGGGTCTTCCTCGTTTCATTCAATGCGACCGTCGAAGCTGTATGTTTCTTGGAACTGTTCATGTAGAATATGCCAATGTACTAAAGAGAACTGTATAACAATGGAGCCGTTATGTCTCCCAGAGAACCTATCGGTGATTTCTAAACTGAATCCGCATGAAGTTTCTGCTACGTTAATGGTCCGCAGTGGCCTGAGAAAATGCACAGATTGTAGGAAGGGTAGTTTGGTCCGCAATAGACTACCTTTTGCCAGTTTTGCGGTGGAAAGTTAAAGGTAAAGGAGCTAAGGCCCAAAGTTGCTCTAGTGACACCTCCCTTCTTCCAGTGACTTCGCCCCCAGAGTCCGCTCTCCTCGGGCGAGCAGCACAAAACTGTTATGTTGCAACATCTTCAAGTGGTCGGGTATATATTACTCCCAACTAAGGGGGTTAGCAATGGGTCAGCGCCTAGCACCGGTGCTTGCAATCTGCTTCATGAGCAGGATAGAAGAACCAGTGCTGGAACGTTTACCGTTGATGTACTGCAGGTACATAGATGACTGCTTCATTGTAACATCGACACAATCCGAAATGGATGAGTGTTTTCGACTAATGAATGAGCAGTCTCAGTACATTAAGCTCACACGCGAAGTTCCACGGAGTGGTTGGCTTCCTTACCTCAATACGCAGGTGAAAGTGTTTGATGGCATACTCAGTGTGAAATGGTACAGAAAAGCAAGCTCCAAGAACATCTTGATTCATGCCACATCTGCACATCCTTCTGCTTTGAAGCATGCAGTCGTGAGAAACATGTTTAGGACTGCAGCAAACGTAAGCACAGGGGCAGCAGAGCGGCAAGAATCCGTACGGCTTGCTTCTGATATAGCCGCTTCAAATGGCTATCCTGTACCAGCTAATCGTAGAAGAACTCACACTGAGCACCGACGCGTACCGCGCCAAAACAAGCTCCCGCTATGTATACCATTCATATCTGATAGAGTGACTGCTGCGATTCAGAGATGTCTTTTTCGCGCACAGTTGGACAATGATGTTGTATTAGTTAGTATTCCTAATAATAACATCAAACGCCAACTGGTGCGAAACAGACTCTACGACAGGCAGTGCATATCAGAACAGTGCGTTACTTGTCCACAAGGTTCAATTGGAGATTGCGCCAAAAGTGGTGTGATCTATCAAATTGAATGTTTGGCATGTAACGCAACCTACATTGGGGAGACTGGAAGACCGTTAGCAATACGCGTCAAAGAACATCTTGCTGGCAAAAGGCGTGGTAATATAAGAACACCACTCGGCAAGCATTTGATCGAGGAGCACCGCGGAAACGACTTTGATGTGAAGTGCACGATTCTGGCATGCGAGACTGAGATTTCTGCCAGAAAAGCGCTAGAGGCATTCTGGATTTCTGCAAGAAATCCTAGAATGAACAACCGCAATGAGTGCTTATCCATAACAAATGACCTCTTGCCATTTGTGCCGCACTGCGAGCTACTGATGTGAGCGGTGGGACGTGCCATCTGACTATAATCACTATACAAGATTGGCACAGTAAGTCCCACTCATTGTACTAACAACTAACTGAGCGGCTACATCCGCTCTCGCTGTGGTGGACTGGGTGAGTCTTTCCCTCATTCGGGATTTTCGGGGTTTTCTCAGTAGTCTGTCAGAAACGTTAGGGAAGAGGAGATCTTTGGCGGTGTAGAGAGAGCGAATTTGAATCATGAGCCACGTTTAGGCCTCTGATGAAGACGATCTAGTCGAAACGTCAGGCCATAATAAAGTTCCACCTAACAACCTCGTGTGCACAGAAGTACTTATTTAACGTAACAACACAAAACTGTTGTCTTCAACAGTTTGGAGACCCCCAACTACTTTTTGAAACACTTGTGGTGTGATGTTTAGAGGCAGCGAAAAGGACTGTTGTCTGTGTTGTGTCTCCATGGTCTTCCTAGCGGTCATAGGGTCCATTGCAAGGGATCAGCAGACTGGATTAGTCCCAGCACACGGTCTTTTGCCCTTTTACCCGGAGAGATGTTCAAGGCTGAAAGGACCTTAGTGAAGAAGTTTCTTACGTTCTCTCCTGCATTTTCTCTTCAAAGGTAAGTTACCTTCCAATTTCTCTTCCATGTTTCGACAACATTACCAATGCTCCTTATCGGGGACCGTGCCATTGAACACGGTCTTCAGTTCAACGATGGAGTTTGTTGGACTTGGAGGCTCCCTATGACAGCTATTGGGTCATCAAAACATTACTCAGTTCCATGCCTCTGATATCGAAGGTGCACTTGCGCAAGGCGAGGCTTTCACTACCAATGCAGATTCAACTTGTATCTTTTTACCGTTTCAAAACCTTGAAAATTTGTTTGTGCATGAGTAGTTCTTGCTCTTTAGGGAATACTTAGCGCTGATCTTATGTGGGGACAGCGGGCTATCATAGTAACGCACCACAAGGAGTAGGGACGCGCTGTTGAAGAAAGCGCCCTGAAGGCACCCTGTTTTCTCCCGTGGTCAGTATCCACTCCGGGTAGCAGAACTGTAAATCGCTCATCCTACTGCATTTTCCTTCTACTATCATCAAACATTCCTTGACGAATATGACCATGTATAAGAAATGACATTAAAATCTGTCGTGGAGGAATGACGAGGGCGGTATGGGCCCGCCTCCAGCTAGCTTGCTACCAATGGTGATCAGCCAGTGATCGATTCAGGAAAAAACAACCAATGTTGGAAACGCCGCGGGTGGGCGCATTCCATTCTTTTTGAAACCACCTCAATCAACTGTATTATCAACTTACAGTAGCGACTGCTAGCACAATCAACTGCCATGAGAATTTCCGCAGTAGACTCAACATCAACTGAAAGTGATTCACATATCCAAGATGCGTTTTTCTAGCTTCGAAATTCTAAAGAAATTCTCAAAGGGTGGTTTACGGTAGTTCGGATAACATCAATCTAACAATATTTTTACAAAGCATGTTTCGCGCTTTGAAAAACGGGAAAACAATGAAACCGTCAGAGATTGCATAAAATGGTATTGTTCCGGGGTGAATGGTTCAATAGCTCTAAACTGCGACTATTTTTCAGCTTTTGCCAGCTCGAATTCATGCGTTCCATGAGTTGAAAATGGGTGGTGAAAGCCATCCGCTCTGCCACCATAATAACCTGTAACATCTAATAACATCCACTACGGTCGACAGCGGCCAGTGCTGCTATTTTTTTGGGGAAATTAGCGGAGATTACTCGGCAAATTATGATGAATTAGTATCACAGTATGGCTAAGTAATGTTTTCGGGGGCAAAAATTCATTACGAGGGCTGTTTCAAGTAATCTCCGTATCGGGGTAAGTTAGCAGTGAAGGAATTTAAATCATTCGAATAGGCAACGACATTCCCTGACGGTATAAATACAAAATCATTCCGGCATCATCAATGCTATTCATTATCCCTGGTGAAAGAAGACCAGAATGACTGATGACAAAGAGAACTAGAGAAAACTAGACTAGGGAAAATGATTACTGATAAAAAAATCGAGAAAAATGAAAAGGAACTTGGGAAAATGATTATTCTCGTCCTGCAACCTAAACAAAGATTTCCGTGGAAAGCGTATTTCTACCGATGAAGAGTTGAAGTCGCAATTAACGCACATTTTGGGGACGAGAAAAAAAATATTTTCAGAGGGTATTGAAAAGTTAGTTTCCCGAGCAAACAAGTTATAGAGGTTATGAGGACTACATTGGAAAATAAATTTTATCCAGAATTTTCGGCTTTTTCCTTCATACCAATATGCAGGATTGGGACGTAATATTGATATCAAATCTGCCGCCAAGTAGCCGATGACTGTAACGCCAGTGCAGAATATGTGATATTTACATATTGCAGGTGTTCATGCAAAGCTCTACGCATCAGACACTCTCACCATGCATCAGAGCTGATTTTCATTATATGTTCTGAAGGTAGAGGCTTTTGCGACCACACTGACCTCCATGCTACAGTGCAGTAATATATTAGAGAATTTGCTTTTGAAGACTA